AAAAAAAAAAAAAAAAAAAAAAAAAAAAAAAAAAAATTATAAATTAAAATTTAACTAAAAAATATTTTTATATTTTTTTAATTCAACAAAAATATGTTTTAAAAAAATAAACAAATAAAAGTTAAATATAATTTAATTAAAAATTTATAAATAAATTAAATTTTATATTTTTATCATTTTAAATATGGGTTGTATTCAAAACGTTCATCCAAAGAAATACGGGCAAGGATCAAGGCAATGGTAAACATAAAAAAAAATGTTTAATTTTTTTAGAAGAATAAAATGAAATATTATAAAGAGATTAAAGAAATTTTGTAAATAAAATTATTTTTTTTTAAAAAAGAGGAATAATTTTTTACAAATCTCTATAAATATATATATAAATCTCAATATATATATAAATCTCTATTTATATATAGAATATTTAAAAATTATAAAATTTTTTTTTTTTTTTTTTTTTTTTTAGCCGCGTATGTTCAAATAAGCATGCTATAATAAGAAAGTATAACATCAATATATGCAGACAATGTTTTAGAGAAAGAGCAAATATAATTGGTTTTAAGAAGGTAAATATTATTTTATAAATATACTTACACATTTATTTTTTTAATGAATTTTTTATATTAATATTTGTAATTATATATTTATTTCTAATTATTCTATTTTAATTTTTAAATTTTTTTTTTTTTGTTTTTTATTTTTACAGTATAGATAAAGTGGCAGTTGAACATGATTTTATTATAAGATTATTTATTTTTTTTTTTTTTTATTTTAATTTTTTCATATTTTAATAATAAGCACACATCTTTTATAGGATTTTATCATGTACTTTAATAAAATGAATTGTATTTAAATAGTTTTATAAATGAAAAACTATATTAATATTTTATGAGATTTTTTTTTAATTAAAAAACACATTTAAAAACTTTTAGATGTTTTATTAAGTTATATACTTTCTAATATTTTTTCTTTTTAGCTACATTTTATTTTAATTATTATAGAAAAAATATTTATAAATTCAAATTATTGTATTTAAAAAAAAAAAAATAAATAAATAAAAAAATACATCAAAATGAGAATATAGAGAAATACTGTTCTTATTACATATTTTTGCCTTTATTTTTTTTTTTTTTATTTCTTAATTGTATTATAAAGTAGTAGAAAAAAAATAATTTCCCTTTAAGACAAAAGCAAAAAAAAAAAAAAAAAAAA